TTAATTCGTCGGTCACAGATTTCAAAATTTATAGGTCACAGTCACAGATTTTCGAATTAGTTGGTCACGACAACTAGTACCAACACCACTGTCACAACAACCACCACCACCACACAAAATGCCGCCGCCGCCGCCGCCGCATCCAACCACACACTATCAACACCACCAATCAGATCTGAATCCACTACACACCACATCTGCACCATAGCTGGTCAAACACCACTACAACCTGCATCAACACCACCACCACACCCCGACGCAACACCATCACCACAACTCCACTCCACTCCGCTACTGCACACACACCCTCAACATACACACACGCACACACACTGGCAGCTTCGCAGTTCGCACATGGCAGCATCCCACCGACAACTTCGCACCTGATAGCTTCGCGACGCTGTTGCGAACGGCAGCGTTGCGACCCTGCTACTGTTCACAGCAGGCAGAGACAGACAAGGGATGGGGGAAAGTGAGGGAGAGGAGAAGGAGGGAGAATGGAGTAGGAGCCGCTGCATGACGCTGTGAACTGCAGCAGCGTCGCCGTTCACATCAGGCAGAGAGAGACGAGGGAGAGAGGAAGAGCCGTCGTACAGTAGGCAGAGAGAGACGATGGAGAGAAGGGAATGAATTGATAAAATTAGGGTTATTAATATTATGTTTAATAATAAGATATATTGAAAATTACCCCAATAAACTACAACTTAGAAGGGAATTATATATTAAAACCCAAGAAATGAGGAATATAGGATAAAAATGACATGATATACAGTTAAAGGATTAGATAATTTGTTAGAAAAAATAAAAAATATTAGATCCCAATTAGAAAATAGAAATAGACCATCTGAAAAATATAAAAAACTTATAATAGAATATAAACAAAAGATTATAGATTATGCTAATCTACTATATCAAAAGATAGATTTGTTGGACAGAATCGAAAATATAAGAATATAAATCATCAAAACTATTCATAAAAGAAGGATATGATTTGCAATAAAGAAATTCATTTCATTAAGAGTAAAATAGAATTTTTCATAAAAACCTAAATGAATCTAAAATATCCAGCTAGTTTGAAGAATAACCCTAAAATATTTCATATTGGGCTTGGATCCGACCCATTATGCCCACTTGGCCCATTTCCACTTCTATATATATGCAATTCATTTTATAACAAAGGAGAGGTCCACATGAAGGGGACGTGGCATGGATTTTGTTGGCTCATTTTTTGGGGTTAACAGATTGGCACAATATGTGGAAAACGGTACATTAACCATGTCATACGACAATCAAAAGGTCACCGAAAAATATAGTTTTTTTAGGACAGTTTCTCTACTGGAAAAAGAAAAGACAACAACCGAGAAGGATAGTGTTTTCAGGAAGCTCCTCAACCAAAAACAGAGGTCACCACTAAAAGATGAAAGAATGGTCACTGAGAGCATTTAAAAATTTCCTTGAAGAAAGGGAGAAATTGGAAAAGGGTTGAAGAAACCCGGATTGAAAAAATCCGCCATGAAAAATGGTTATTTCCGATTAATGGTTGAAGAACAAAAGACAGTCGGGAGAAGCAATTTTCCTGAGCATTTTCTGGGACTCGGTTAAGAAGAAAATGCCATCAAGAGATAGCTACTACAACATTCACCATTTCTTCTTTAGAACAAATCAACATCATATGAAATACAAATCCAACATCAGGAAGAAGAGATAAATGAGAAAAGAGGTGGTGGTTTTTGCTGTAGGAATTGTTTCTTTTGGTTTTGGCAGTAGACGGAGGCAAGAAAGGTCACCTCATTTAGCATTCCTACCACAAAACTTTCTGACTGTCTTTGAAAAAACAAAAATCACAAGTTGAATGAGATCAAAATCAAGCCTCCCGAGCACTTCATACATCCAAATATGAACTGTTATTACTCCAAAAATTTTATATTATATATAGCTATTTTCCACAAAAACCATCGGCTGGAACCTCCAAGATTATCCGAAACTGATGAATTCTTGCTATTACATTTATGAGACCGGGGATGAAAGTGAAGAAATCAAAGGCAAATATTCTACTTCCCTTAACTCTAAATGGGAAACCCACCAATCTCTGGTTCTACTATCAATCCAGAAAAGAAGAGAAAGAGTAGCAAAGATTTTGGAAGAAGCCAGTCTCCATCAACAAAGGTCAAGGCAAATACATACAACCCAAACTCCGGCAAAGACCGTCTTGGATGTCGGCAAGTCATGGTCTCCGATCTTGCTCTTGGTTTGTCTTACTGTGCACACATTAATTGTGATGATGACAAATTTTTGGTGGTGGCGTGCAGTCTCATTTCTTATGTCTTTTCTACTTACAACTTTGTGTAGGATAAAATGAACTTTTACTTTTTTAGGGTGTGTTCGGTACCTATTAAAATTTTCATTCTCATTCTTCTACTCATTTTCAACCACACATTCTTCATTAAAATAATATTTTCCATCACATCAATAACTTTTCCTTCTTTTTCACACATTCTCCATCAATCTACTATTCCAAAATACATTCTTCCAAAATAATATCCATCAAACACACCCTTAATTCTATGAAAAGTGAGATTTTATATTTAGAAGTCAAGATGGCCCTCCCATTGAAATAATTTGCACAAGTGAGAATTGTTAGTGGGTCCCCAAATTCGGCCCATTTGAATGATGGGCTCACGTAGATTTAGGCCATATGATATAAAGAATTGGGCCTAAGATTTATTTTATTTAGCCATTTTGGTAGGATTATTATTTTTATTGGGCTATTGCAATTGTCTCCGCTTCACAAATTTATGAACTTTGTCATTTCTATTCGGGAAGAGTTCACAAATCAGCTATTAACTTTTACAATTGCAAAAATCAGGTGTTAAGTTTCAAACTTGCAAAAATCAGGTATTTATTAATTAATTAAATATT